GGACGGCCGCGTATGGTTCCTACTGCATAATTAAGCTCAAGAAACTTATAATTTTATATTTTTATTGCTGATATAATATGAATATCGATAGTGTGTAATACAAACAATATATAATTGTGTCTGTCACCATGGCACTCAATAATCCTCCCAAATTTTCAATTGCATAAAATAATTTTAGTGAATGTGATTGTGCATGTTATACACTGTACTGTACATACACCATGAGTACGTAGTCCGCAAACCTTTGTTGCACCTGCTTAGTCTTCCAGTTTTCTGTCAAAATTCCAAATTTATTTTCTTAGTCAAAACGTACTTAGTTATATTGATCCAAGATGAGATACAAAATTCTAATTCATCTATACATTACGTAAGTATAAATGAAGCCAAGCTAAGGTACAGAATTCAATTCAATAATACCATCATCACAATAATGTATAATATACAGACTGGAGAAAAAAAAAAATTCAATTAAATTAAGAAGATGACGGAAAATAAAAGAGAGATCGCGATCTTTTTGCAGAAGAAGAATTATAGTTCCCATTGAGAGGGAAGGAAACGTTTTATTTATTTAATTAATTTTATTTTTTTTGCAAAGGGATGGGTACACGTTCACTAACAAACAAAAAGAGAAACCGTTCGTTGAAGAACTTAAAAAGCAAAATATCTTCATCTTTTGTTTTTTTACCCAAGAGCTTAACGAAGAGTCTAATTGGGGGGGAAAGGCACAGTTTCTTCCGTTCCACAAAAAAAAAAAGGACGAAATAAATAATATTCCAAAGGTTTGCTTTCCAAAAACAACTAGAAATAAAATTAATTAGTGCAATTCAATCATGATCTAAGTGAGGTTGTTCTAGAGGTGTGGTTAAAATTATGAAGTTCGGACATAAAGAGCAGATTGTTGGTTCGTTATCCACAATGTTTCGATATCATTATTCTCATCAATAAAATATATCGATTGCATGTCGGTTCTGAGAATGTTTGAAACTTATATGTATATTTTAATTTAAAAAGTATTTTAGCTAAAATGATATATATTTTTAAGCAAATCGAGTTCTTTTTAGGTTCATATTTGTTGATTAGGGGTTGCATAGCGTGCTTATATTTTCTGTGTTGGTAGTGCGTGTTTAAAATTACGTGGTTGCTTATACTCACTATTGTAGTGATTATATGGTGGGATCCGCTTTCACTGAGGTCCTATATGAATAATAACAGACGAGATGGCAAAAGTACGTAAGCAGAACAAAGGCCGTTGGGCACAAACTTACAAACAGTGGGACTCCTTTTCATATCTGATATATCTATCTCTTGGGAGGAGCAGAGCAGAGCAGAGAGAGCCACACATTTGAGATTGAGAGCCATGCCTATGCCTAATCAACCTCACCTCGTAAAACAGAAACACTTTTGTCAGCAGCCACCACTTGGCAAAACACCATTTACTGCTTATCTAGTATCACCCAAAACAAGACAGTTGTTGTTGATCAGAACCAAATCTTTTCAGAGAAAGCAGCTAGCTCTTGCTTTATTTTGCGCTTAATAAATTAACTTCTTCCTTTTGAGTACATTTTTTTTTGTGTTGCCTGAAGCATGGAGGCCAGCATAGGTTGATGCTAACCCAGGTGCTTCATTCCTGTTGTGTCACACCATCGGGATTTCACCCTCCATCTCTCCATCCTTCAGCTCCAAGGTCTGTAATTTAGACTCACCATTTCATTTCTACAAATATATAAACTTACATCATGAAACCTCCAGGCTTTCACCACTTATAGATGTTGATGATTATATGCACACAGAAAATATGTTACCAATCAAAGAGAGCTCTCTTTAGAATTTTCTCTGAGTGAGTTGAATTATTACATGGTGTTATTGGACCCTTCTGATTGCTGCAGAGCCTGAAATCAAGCTCCCTCTTCGGAGAACCATTACGACAAGTGCCAAGATCATCACTCAAGGTTTCAAAAACAAAACAGTCTTCCCTTGTCACCAGATGTGCAATTGGTGAGAGTCTGGTGAGTTACATAACAAAAACCAGCTTTGTTCCACATAACTTAAGAGTTAATCTGTCTAAGCAGCACTGAAGTTGTAAATGGAATTGTGGCTGTAGGAAGTGTTCCTTGCAAAGGCAACCCCAGATAAGGGACTGATTAGGTTGCTGATAAGTATGGGAGAAGCATTAAGGACTATTTCCTTCAAGGTGAGAACAGCTGCCTGTGGAGGAACGGCCTGTATTAATTCCTTTGGGGATGAGCAGCTCGCGGTGGACATGCTCGCTGACAAGCTTTTATTCGAGGTAAAGACCAAACAAGCAAACCATGAGTTTTGATCCTGCTTATGCTTATGGTTGGATGAAATTTAGATGACAACACACACACACACACACACACACACACATATATATATATATATATCATAACTTTGATAGTCATTCTTCCTCAAATGTATCAGAATACAACCTTATTTTCAGGGTCAGCAATAAAATTAATGCCTGTTATATTTGGTGCTTAGGCCTTAAGCTACTCACATTTCTGCAAATATGCTTGCTCTGAAGAGGTTCCAGAACTCCAAGACATGGGAGGCCCAGTTGAAGGTCCGCAAGTCCTATCATATGCAATTAAACTTCATATTTTATAATGAATTGCTCTATGATCTTAAAATTTATATCTTCTTAAGAAGGATGATCGAAAGGATGACCTAATTATCGGACTTTTTGCAATTTGAATAGGTGGATTTAGTGTTGCTTTTGATCCACTCGACGGCTCCAGCATTGTTGACACAAACTTCACTGTAGGCACTATCTTTGGTGTGTGGCCAGGAGATAAGTTAACTGGGATAACAGGGAGAGACCAAGTTGCTGCAGCCATGGGAATTTATGGTCCTAGGACTACATATGTTCTTGCTATCAAGGGCTTCCCTGGAACCCACGAATTTCTTCTTCTAGATGAAGGTGAGATTGTAACAATGTCATCGAGTTTTCTTTAAGCAACCAATGTTCTTCGTATGCCATTGTAACCTTCTATGAACCCCCCAAAAAAAAAGTTCATCATAAGTATGAGGTACTCAATTCTGCTGACCCTAGAATGAATCAATGTCTCACACTGTCTTGGTCAGGTAAGTGGCAACATGTCAAGGAGACAACAGAGATTGGTGAAGGGAAATTATTCTCCCCAGGAAATTTGAGAGCCACATTTGACAACCCGGACTATGACAAGGTTTGATTTCCTCTAAAGCAATACTGCATTACTACTGCAGTACTTATATCAGTAAATTATTTACCACCAAGTAGTTCCATTAATTTTTGTGAACTTCTTCTGTTTATGAACAACAGTTGATCAACTACTATGTAAAAGAGAAATACACGTTGAGATACACCGGAGGAATGGTGCCAGATGTCAATCAGGTCCTCTCAACTTCTCCTTAATCAGTCTCCTAGTTTTAGTGAGATTGGCATCCACACAAAATCGATATTTTGTGGTTGGCACTCTTAAGAAGTTAAAAAGTTTATGATTTCTTTACCTGCAGATACTTGTAAAAGAGAAAGGAGTTTTCACAAATGTGATATCTCCAACTACCAAAGCCAAGCTCAGGCTGTTATTTGAGGTAGCTCCATTGGGGTTATTAATTGAGAACGCTGGAGGTTATAGTAGTGATGGTCACCAGTCTGTGTTAGACAAAGTGATCGTTAATCTGGATGACAGAACACAAGTTGCTTATGGATCCAAAAATGAGATAATCCGGTTCGAAGAAATTCTATACGGATCATCCAGGCTCAAGGCAGGGGTGCCTGTCGGAGCTGCAGCCTAAGCTATGCAGTTTGCTATTCATACAAAAGTTTGTATAATGGTGCATAAATTTTCCAATATGGTGGGGAAGAATTACAAGGTTAAAAGTCTGTCAATGGAATGGACCAATCAAGTTGGTTTATAGTTAATCTTTAGTTCACATGTGTATTTATGGTTTTCAAATTACAATCAGATTCAAAGGCTTACTTGTTAAAGTTGTGTTAGGTATATGTGCAGATTGTGCACCTTATTCGTAATATTATAGCAAGTAGGTGCGTGTTTACAAAGCATCCCAAGGTTTTTAAATTGTCTCTAGTAGAAATGTTTTCCATATGATTAATATCCTGTTAAGTATGTTGGTCCATTTGCTGGCTTTTGACCCCTGCTTCAGTTTGAACAAGTCATGTTGTTCTCATCAAACATGTTTTTAATGTTCCTTAGCTGTAGCCGCTCAATCAATGCCCTTAACTAAACTGATGTTGTCTAAATCAGCTGTCAAAGGTTAAAAAAGTTAGTCTAGGCAAGATGGTTTGTAGAGCAAAGTTCATGTTGCACATCTTTTAGTACAAGATAAATCTTTCTCAATGGCAGATATATATTAATCAGTAATTTATGGAACAAGAAAGTGAGAACTTAATTAAATAATTAGATAAACAGATATAATTTAAGGTGGTATTATTAATCCCAAATGTTGTAAATTCCTAAGTTATGCCTTGGAGTATCCCCTGGTTAAGCTCCAACCCCTATGTCTTCCATAGGTAAATCCAAAACATTTATTGTATAACATAGGATTCTTGATTGAGAAACCTTCTGATGGGCTGGGCATCTTGTGGATGATTTCATGCCTAGAAGGGTAGTTCCTGCAATCAAATTGTTTGTAATCTTGGTGAATCTGCAGACTTAGTTTGCAATTGTGGTAAACGTGACACTGATAAGCATGGTATGAATTCCACATTTTCTTTTCAATTTTCTCGATAAATGAAAGGCAAGGCGATTTTTATGTCTCCGTCATAATATGTCATTTTTCGACATACTAACCTAAGATCATTTTATTCCAATGCCATTTTTGAAACTCTTTAAACTATTGGTGAAATCATATAAGTCAAAGTTACCATTTTCTTCAGGCATCTGAGGCCGGAATTGCAAAATGGCGTGGATCAGTCGGTGGCATTGTTGATGCACCTATAGACCAAGTCTGGAGTATGGTTTCTCAAACTAAAAGACTAACAGAATGGATGCCAATGGTTGAGCGCTGCACTGATTTAGCTGGAGATGAAGGTGTTCCGGGCTATGTTCGGTTAGTCTCTGGCTTCATGTTCCCACAAGAAGATGGAGACAGGTCATGGATCAAGGAGAAGCTGGTGTCCATAGATTCATCAAGACATAATTATGTGTACAAATTGGAAGCCAGCAATGTAGGTTTAGATGGGTCTGTGAATTCAGTAAAGCTTGTAGATTATGGGAATGATTCAACACTAGTTGACTGGTCATTTGAGGTAAACCCCTTGGAAGGTACATGTGAGGACAGCATTATAGATTATCTAGGATTTCTCTATAAATCTTGCATTAACCGGATTGAGGCTGCTATAGAAGCAGCATCCAAGAAAGTTTAAGTAGCATTATTTTACATGTGTTAGTTAAAAGTGTTTACTCATTAATCAATCTGTTATTTTTCTTTTCATTTTGATAGACCTATTTTGAATTGCACATAAGATTCTCATGGTAATCACTAATTATGAAGAGGGTGAGAAAGAGAGAGACTGCCATAATGAGAAAAAAGAGGGGTTTGGGAATCCATACTGAAGAAGATGTGATCTTTAAAATTGATGGGGAAGTTGAGCTGTTACTACAAATCCCATCTGTAGTTTCCATATTTTTAAGCTTCTGGACAGGACAAGATACCGTCGCAGTCCATGAAAACCATTCCTCAACCATTTTCCACTAGTTTCTTTCCGGTTTTTGTAAACGCAGATATACTTATGGTTCATTTTCCACCACCACACTTATCCTATACCATTCTGGAAAGGTACAAGACTCCACTACATCTACTTAAAAAGCTTGACTTGGCTTCTTCATGTTGGCGTGAATCAATTCAATATTATTCTTTATTGTAATTGATTTTGTATTTATGTGTAATTATAGGAATACCGGATTGACCGGGGTTGTGCTACCTCCCTGTGAGAAGAATAGAATACACTAAATTATTCGTAACCCTAAATTCTATTTGTGTCTTCAAGGCTTTAATTAGAAAATCAAGAAAAGGGTGGGACGTTCTATCATGGAATGGACTATGTGTTTCATTCATTTTTGTCTAGATCTCTGGTGTACATTGACAAAAAGGTTTCATTTTCAAAACACAAAATTTACATAGTTAAATTCTTCCAATTCAAGTCTGAAGAATCCACCAAGGGCCGGCTAGCACCGATGGTGAGGGGAAATGGGAAAAAAGACTAGAAGATTACAAGAGGTTATGGGTTCCATTCCATGATATCCAATATACCAAAAGAACATATATAAAAACTTAGAAATAGCAAAGTTAATAAGCAGCAGTAGTCTAGCTATACAAATAGAAATTATTAGAAAATTAGGAGTGGTGTTCGAGTATATTAGTAATACATGCCCAAATATTTGGGATAAGTAAAAAGCCCTCAAACCTTCGAGAAACAGAGCAGAAACAGAGAGAGAGAGAGAGAGAGAGAGAGAGAGAGTGTTTGTGCAGCTGAGCTGTAGGATTGTGTTTGTGCAGCTGAGCAGTAGGTTTCAACTCTCCCACGGGTTGCCTTCAATGAAAGTGGCAACAAGTGCTGCAAATTGCTTCAACGTAGACAGGTTACTACTTCAATTGTGTAACATGCAAGAAAACTTCAGTAGAATAATACATAAATATATATATATATGATATTTGGCTCACATTTCTCATTCACTACCTCCTACCACGGGGCCTAAAATAACATTATATCACATATCATTTGCTTCTTTATAAGATTAAGGTGGTCAGTCATTCATATGTTACTACTGCATAATCCATATCCAGCCCGACCAAGCTCAAAACACAACAACAATTAACTCACATATCTGGCAAACATGGAGTCCTGCAGGCTTCACCTTCGAGCAATGTTGTTGTTGGTTGTATTCTTGCACCCGGCATTCGTTCAGTCCTTGGTTCGACACTATAAGTTTAGTGTAAGTACATTCTGGACATATATATCCATCTTTGTTTCAAATTAAGCTCATATTACTTGACCTTAGAATAGCGATTGTCATCTATGATAGCATAAGTTAGGAGGGGAGAGGGCCTTCTGCCTGCCTTTTGCTTTCAACAGATAACTGAAAAACCCATGAACAACTAGTACATTAAAATGGCTGGGTTACATGTGCAGGTGGTCTTCAAAAATACAACAAAGCTTTGTTCATCTAAGCCCACCATCACCGTAAATGGAAAGTTCCCTGGACCAACCTTGTATGCAAGGGAAGATGATACTGTAATTGTAAGGGTCATCAACCATGTAAATCACAATCTCACAATTCACTGGTGAGAATTATTCTACTCCCATACCCTAGTTACTTCCAAAAGAAATTGTAGCTAGTGATTATTGTGTGTAACCGAGACACCACCTGATACATGCCGATGTGGTACATCAAATTCACCCAATTTATAACACGTGTACTATTATTATTAATACGCAAATCCTAAACCCAACTTGGTGGATTCGACACACTACATCAACATGGCATACCATATGGTGTATTATTTTTCGTTGATGTGGCTTCTGTCACATTTAATCTCATACTATGCAGAAAATACTAATAAATAATGATCATATGATTCTGTAATGGCAGGCATGGAGTCAAGCAACTTGGAACAGCTTGGGCGGATGGACCAGCATACATCACACAATGCCCCATACAGCCTGGGCAAAACTTTATCTACAATTTCACACTCACAGGCCAAAGGGGCACACTTCTCTGGCATGCACATACCTCTTGGCTAAGGGCCACTCTACATGGTGCCATTGTCATCTTACCTAAAAGAGGCACTCCTTACCCTTTTCCTACACCTGATGAGGAAAAAACTGTCATATTAGGTAAATTGATAATTTTCAATGAGGTGCTTTTGGTAATTGCAGCTTGGTAAATTGGTAAACTGGTAATTTGACTTTATTATTTGAATTGCAGCTGAATGGTGGAAATCAGATGTTGAAGCTGTGGTCAATCAGTCTATAAAGTCTGGCCTGCCACCAAATGTCTCAGATGCGCACACTATCAATGGCCATGCAGGACCAGTTCCTGGTTGCTCTTCTCAGGGTACTGATATGGGGTATACTTAATTTTGTTTTTTGTTTTCAAAATCCTAATAGGCCTTTTGTTTTGCTTCATTGCATGGGAAAAAGAATACAAAACACATGTGATGTTCCAAAATTAACCTTATAATTACATGTAAGTTGCCTGTATATAAGTGAAGTTATGGGATGTAAATAGTTGTGTGTGTTGCACATCTGCAGGGGGTTACACTTTACATGTTGAAAGTGGCAAGACCTACCTGCTACGCATCATAAACGCAGCGCTGAACGATGACTTGTTCTTCAAGATTGCGGGGCACAATCTAACCGTTGTTGAAGTTGATGCCTCCTACACCAAGCCATTCCAAACTGACACCATATTCATCAGTCCAGGCCAAACTACAAATGCAATTTTAACTGCAAATCGGAGAATTGGCAAATACTTAATAGCAGCCTCTCCTTTCATGGATGCGCCAGTTGGCTTTGACAACTTGACTTCAATTGCTTCATTGCGCTACAAGGGAACCCCTGCAAACCCCAAAGCCTTCTTAACCAGCATTCCTCCTCAAAATGCAACGCCAGTAACAAACACTTTCATGGACTCCCTTCGAAGCCTTAATTCGAAACAGTACCCTGCTAATGTCCCATTAACTATAGACCATTCACTCTTTTTCACCATTGCAGTTGGTGTAAATCCATGTGCTACATGTGTCAATGGGAGCAAGCTAGTGGCTGCTTTTAACAACGTTAGCTTTGTGATGCCAACTATAGCCCTCCTTCAAGCATATTACTATAACATAAAGGGAGTGTACACACTTGATTTCCCGGCAAACCCACCAATTCCTTTCAACTATACCGGCAACACTACGGCTAACATGCAGACCACAAATGGGACAAGACTATATAGGCTGGGGTACAACTCAACGGTTCAGATTGTGCTACAAGGCACTGCTGTCATAGCACCAGAGAGCCATCCAACCCATCTGCATGGCTTTAATTTCTTTGTGGTTGGGAAAGGAATTGGTAACTTCGATCCAACGAAGGACCCAAAAACATTCAATCTTGTTGATCCTGTTGAGAGGAACACAATCTCAGTGCCAACTGGTGGATGGACTGCAATCAGATTCAGGGCAGATAACCCAGGTAATAAATTTCTACAGCCACATATTTTCTTTTTCTTTAAAACTAAATTATGTGCTAACAATTTTATAATTGATTGGAAATTTGTTGTTGTTTGCGGTGGTAAATGAATGCAGGCATTTGGTTTTTGCATTGCCACCTGGAAGTTCACACAACCTGGGGGCTTAAGATGCCATTTCTAGTGGAAAATGGGAAAGGCGCAAATGAGACTCTGCGACCACCTCCTGCTGACCTTCCAACCTGCTAGAATTTCCAATCCAAACGGCTATAAAATTAAAAATGGATGCTTGAGGCTCAAGGCATGAGAAGAGTGTGCATGGTATCTAGAGAATTTGAGTTGAGTTGAGGAGCAAAAAACAAAGAAAATGGTTGGCTGGTTCTGGTTGGTTTGAGGAGCAAATAGAAACAGCTGCTCTCAAAAGAAGTGAATAAAAAAGGGTAAACTCAATGCACTGTATAATTTCAATTTCACCTACTTTGTCATTTTTTGGGTTGAAAGTAAAAGCAGCATCACACACACACACACACCATAGGATTTGTCGTGTATGAATTGTTGGTATGTGCTTAATCTAAAGAAGTTGTTGGATTTCAAAATGATTAGATTCTTCTTTATCCCTTTAATCACTGTAAACATTGAACTACTTTTGACTAATGCCCAAAAGATAAACACGTTTAGGGCATAAAATGACAAAGAAAGGAAAAAAAAAAAAAAAACTATCGCGCCAGATAGGGGTCGAACCTATGACCTTCTGCTTAGGAAACAGACGCTCTATCCACTGAGCTACAGGCGCTTGTTGATAACGTATGCGGTTGAAAATTATTTAACTAAAGGAAAGTGGAAAAAGGCCAAAGAACTATGATAAAAAATTGCACGAGCGACAAATGATCAAACTATTGACGCAATCTTGGACCAATTATACGCGGCATCATTTTTTACCCAAAACTACTACGTGGCTTCCATCTTGTAAATAGGGAAAGTATTGCGGAGAAAAAAGTTAAGTTAAAGCCAATGTCTTGAAATTAACCTACTTACAAATTCAGATCAGAAGTTTTTATTTATTTTGTCGAAACACTTCAGCAGCTCAGCTACCCTGAAGTTCAAATATGGGACGCATGTAATAATAGAGAAAAACTTAGTTGCAATGTATTATTTTTTATCAATAATGTTATGTTATGTATGTTTTAACGTTATT